ACACACACACACACACACACACACACACATACGTACTCTGTATTCACGTCACTTTCGCACAGAAAGGGGGGACGAGAGTGGATCACGATCGAGTGGATGCAGGGAAGGTTCTGCGTGACACGCGAGGTCGAAAGGCGAAACTCGAGCGGGCCGGTTGGTTGCATCGAACGAACGATGGGTACGGACTGGAAAAAAAGTGCACATGCTTACTCACGGGGCAAGTATTCAGGTTCGTTCGTCGTCTGGGATGCGTCTGACTCGCAGGCTAAGTCTCGACTGGTCGCTGAAAGCTTCGGTTACAACCGTTCGTCGTTGGCTCCCACCTTTTCTCGCGGGCTTCTCTCCTCGCGATCGTAAAAGACGACGATGACGTCGCGCGCCAGGACGCGCTTCTCTCTCTCTTTCTTTTTCCTTCTCTCCCGCATCCCTACCACGCCATACATGTGTGTATGTATGTGTGTGTGTGCGCGCGCGCGTGTACGTGCACAGAGCCGCGACGAGGATTTTCTACGTACGGGCCTGTGAAAACGTACACCGCCGCGGAATTTATCTTTAGAATCGGCGACATTACGACGGCCGATCCGCATCGCCTCGCCGCTTATTTTCACTCGCCTGGTCCTGGAGAGCAGCTTCGGCCCAACGCGATGACGCGAAATGAAGAACATCGTGGGAAAGACTGCATGAGAAGTGGAATCCTCAATGGTGTTTAGGGTTTATTTAAAGTACTAAAGGCAAAAGTGACTCTTTCTTCTCTCTTCTTTCCTTTCGTTGTCACCTCTCGTCGAAGGAGCAACATGACGATAAGAAATGGAAACTGTGGAATCGATCGAAGATTGCGATCGTCAAACGCAAATCCCGGTGCTTAACAAATTGCGCAACTCGTCGTTCAAAATAGACGCAGAGCACGATGTATTCGTCGTATTTAAGTTTTTGAGTAATCCGTCTAAATTGTAGAGAGAAGAAAGTGAAGTAACCGTGTCCGGTTCAGATCACACTCGCGACTCCTTGAGCCAGTTTCCATAGGTACCAAGATCAAAGTCACCGAGATCGTTGCGAGGTTATGCATAGAAAAACTTGGATACTATCCTTTGCCGACTGTCTTAACTCCGATTTAAAAAAGAAAAGTCACGGTTCCAAAAATACGTGGATTATTCATCGCGGAGAGATAACGTGTTCTCGCGGCGAGAACATCTCTTAAAACGGTATCAATCGCGGCGCCTGCCCATAAAACGGAAGTGTAATGCGCATTAGATGAAAATATGTCATCGTGATAATTACGTATGCCATAGTCTCGTATCGCGTCTATCCAGCAGGAAAATCCTAATATTAGGCGGCGATAATTTTGGCACTGTGATTGCAGGCCATCTCACTCGATCTCCTTGAGTCAACTCGTGTCATGGTCAATCCGCAATGACTCGAACAACGCTTTTGGCCCCGATGGTTTGCGTAATTATTTCGAGACTTACCTAATAATTTGAGCATCTCTTTCCTTTTTCTCTCTCGAACGTTACAGATGGATCAAATTTCGTTCGAATGTTCGATTTTTAAAAGTTCAGGCGCCTCCGCGTGGCAACCGCTCGATTCGACGACTTAATTTTCGACCGGAGCGCTCCGGTGAAGATTTCGCTCGGGCAATTTGTCGGCGCGCGAAGTCTTTTTGCGCAAGTTTATCGGTCACCGCATCTCTCGCACATTCATCGGTCCGATTCAATACCGTAAAAGGAAAAAGTAGGTAAGGGTCCCTGCCGCAGCCTTGACTCATATACCGTCTGTTTAAGTACTGGCTTGTGTGCGTTTACGAGCGTGCCTCTCAAATACCGATCGCCGGCTAAAAGTCAATGGAACACGCCGCGTCTCTTTACATTGCGATGCGAACCGAACGTATCGCCATCAGGACGAATGTTACGGAATATCAAGTGAATCTCTGCCGATTTTTTTTCCCCCTCTTTGTTATTTCTCTTGATTGGCTTGTTGAGCTCCCGTCTTTCATTAAGACATTTTACGCGCAATCTTTCCCCCGATCGATTTACACCGTTGTTGCATTCTTCTCTTTTTTCTTCTTTTTAACGTTGTAAAAATAATCAGAAAAAAATTCCAAGGATGTTCTTGATATCTGCTTTTCATATTTTTGCAACTCCGAACAAACTGAAATATTTACAAGCGAGGTTTATGTTTTTTTTTTCCTTTTTATACCTGTTGCTGTATATTTAAATTATATT